GTATCTTCAAGATTTCAAGCTTTGTGAGTTGAGCTTGAATAAAAATTATAGAATGCTCCAGCTGAACTTTTCTGAAGATTTGTGGTACAGAAAAACTGTACCAGAAATAGGAAAGATGAATTTCTGTGCCACTGTTGTGTGCAGAATGAAGTCGTACTGCCATTTAATGGATGTCAGTGCATTCCAAACACTGTGCCAGATGCTGTACATGAGCTAGCCTTTGAAAGTTTACTGAAATTGTTATAAGCTGGTATTATCAACATTCTGCAAACGACCAAAACAAAAAACAAAAACTGAAGTTTGAAACTTTTAAGAAAATCACTCAAGACACACAGATAAGTAACAGAATTGTGATACACACATTTGAAAAAGATCCCTTCCCTCTCCACTATAATGTTATGAGGAAACGTCACTATTCTAATGCTTTTCCTCAGATTTTAAAAGTGATTCTCAGGTTTCAGTCTCCTTGAGCATGTAGTTCATCCAGTTCCTACATTTTAAGAGAAATTACTAACTTCAGAAGCATTTTAATTTGCAAATGGAATATACAGATTCTGAGAGGAATTCCCACTACCATTGGATTTCATTTGTACACAACAGTATACCACAGGCTGATTTGCTTGGTGACTTCCTGAATATTCCCCAAAAGGAAATATCTATGATAACATGCCAATAGTCCCCAAAAGAGAAATATATGTGAGGAAGAAAACCAAAGGGTGGGAAGCAGATCGATCCCACATAATCTAATTTTGAGAAATGGTAGAGACATCCTGTGGGAGGACAATAGGCAGAAGATTTTCCCATCTCACTTGACCTGTGGCAAGGGGAAAAGGAGGACCACTGACCTAAAGAAACGAAGTATTCTACCTCCAGTACTTTCTATGATACCCCAGCAGTCACAATAGAATTCAAGAGAAATCTGTAATGATCAAAGATGGAAAATATTCAAGCCTCACATCAAAGGGAAATATTCAGTAATACTGTCTGTTACAACATGGATAGTTGGGATAGTCCTGGAACCTGTTTTGGACAGAAGAGATGTGAAGGAGGTAGGGGTCTCAGGAGAAGATGCTTGTGAGAAGTTTAACATAGATTCTTTAGTTTTTGGTTGTATGATGCACATTCCTTAAATTTTACTACATCTTGGGAAACACATGATATGCTCACTCTTACCATTATAAACAAGTGTTCTCACTAATCATTAATTCCAGGGAGAAACTATTCAGGTTGTTGCATTATGTACATGGTTAAATCTACAGCCTTTGTGTGCCTGTGATCTTGTGAACTCAGTTAAGTTCCAGAAGCAAATCATTATTTCCAAATTTTTATACCCATATTTTGTTGTAAAAGTTAAAAGTTTTAATAACTAGGAGGTCAATTTTCAGAAATAGTTTTCATCACTATTATGCTTCAAAAAGGATGTCAAACGGATCCTTTCTTCATTAAATTGGTTCTGATATTTAAGTCCTATCATTGAAATTACTATGAGCTAGGTGTCAGTTCAGCTACCAGCTGTTCTGTGGGAGAAGGATGAGGCTTTCTGCTCCCGTAAAGATTTACAGCCTCGGAAACCCTGTACAGGGTTGCTGAGTCGGAACTGACTCCATGGCACTAACAACAGGTGTGAGTCCTGGTGTGGCGCTGTGGGCTAATGCGTCAGACTGCGGAGTCGTTTGAACTGCAAGGTCAGTGGTTCAAGCTCACCAGCTGTTCTATACAGGGTCGCTGTGGGTCAGAATTGACTTGACAGCACTTAATAACAAGGTTTAAGCAGTCTGTAACAGGAACTGTGCGATGAACTGTGATTGAGCCCACTATAATAAGGCACCACCTATACTGAAGAGACAGCAAAGTGTGAGAGGAAAACTATCAAGATAAATCAGAATTTAGTAGGGAAGAAAGTATGTTATACCTGAAAGAGATTCAGAACAATAGTAAACATTTTTGAGTAGTTGTTATTAACTGGATGCTGTGTTAAGCTCAGTTTTTCATAGTAAAATTTATATTATTAAGTATGTTGACCTTATAGAATAATAAGAGATACCAATGTACACACCCCTGAAATTGTACAGATATTAATATTTTGTCATTTTTGCTTAAGATCTTTGTCTTTTAAACAAAACATTACAGAAGGCTCTGAAGTCCCCTCTTCATCCCTTCCCCTTCCTTTCCTTCTCAGGATAAAGATTATCCTGAATTTTTGTGCATCATTCAAACATTTATTTGTTCTTTTTCAACTATACTTATTCTTTCACTAATTACCCTTTTCATCAAGCAAGCATTTTGATAGTTACCATTATTGATATTTGTGGATCTGGCTGATTAACATTAATTAGATTGCACAAAGAATTTCAATTTATTACCGTTGTCATTGGTCAACTCCAAGTAGATTGTTTCTATTTTTTTGACAAAGCATACCATAATGGCTGATCTTGAACATATGTCCTTGTGTTTATGTGCAAGTTTCTCTAGGTCCTTTCCTTTGTAAGTGGAATTTCTGAACCATACAGTATGTACTCTCCGACTTTATTAGGCAATGCCAAAATTAGTTCCGAAGTGGTCATATTAATTTATACATCTACCAGTTTTTTGTTTATTTTTTAAGTGTTGTTTTTGAAGTTAGTTCAATGCATATATATTCTTCCAAGCTATGATTTGACATCAGTTGTCTTTTATCATAACCAATTTTTAATATTGTAAGTAATTTGAATAAATGACTCCGTTAGTTTTTTATGTCTTAAAAAGGAATTCTCTTAACTCAGTGTTAAGACATTTCTTCTTTCTTCTAAGTGTTTATAATTTTTCTCTTCACATTTCTCTCTTCAAACCATCTAGAATATACTTTAAAATATAGTGTGAGGTAGGGATTTTTTTTTTTTTTTCCCTGTAAAAGTCCATACTTACATCAATAAGTGTTAAAGCTACCTTTTTGTCATAAGCACATTTTCAAATACAACTGGTCTGTCCTTGTCTGCTGAGTACCAGGTAACTTAAATTAATAGAACGTTTTATGTCTTGGTATCTGATAGGGTGAGTCCTTCCTAACTAGGTTTTAAAAATTACTTTGGTTCTTCTTGCTCTTTATTCCATCATGTAAATTTTAGGATTAGCTAAATCGCCCATTAGTATCTTGTTTTTTCCACCTGTTTCATAATCTGTTGGTAAAATAAACGCTACTAATTTCTGTTTTGTGGTTAGAAGACCAAATCTTGTATCTAGTACTCCATCAATGAACAGCACTAAAAAAAAATGGTACAATAAGAGGAGAGGGAAGATCTGAGGGGGGAAACTAGTCATACTGTAGCTTCAGTTGAAATTGTATTGATTTTCAAAATTAAATGCTAAAGTTGATAATAAATGAACAAGTTTCCTAACCATTAATATATAAATCTCCATTTACTTAGTTCTTCCTTATATCCTTCAATAAAGAACTTTTCCTATAAAGTCTTACACATTTTCCATATATCACATAATTTAATTTTTAAAAAATTATTTCTTGCATTTGATCTTCTGGCTCATAAATGTGGCCACTTCTTTAAATCACCTAGCTATTTTGTTGAAAAATCATGTTTTTAAAGAATTGTGTGTGTAAAAGCATGTTGCATTTGTTGGTCTTTTGCTGTTGTTAAGGTGTTCACCTGTTTCTTCCAAGAAACCCTGGATATGGGTTCTAATATTTAAACCTGATCCTTTTCTCTGGATACTAGAGTTCCTTAGTTGTAGTGTATTCTCAGGTAATTGGGGGTCCATGAGTTAGAGTTAACAGATATAAGGGATTTCCACAGCTTCTGAATGAAAAAAACATTTCTTACCTATAGCGTGAAATGAAGAGATGATATAGTCAGTCCTCCTGGTACCTTGGAAGAAGCCTCTCTGATGTTTCTCTTTAGCTTTTCTGCCCATCTCAACAGTAAGAAACACTCAACCCAGCCCCTTGCCTTTTGGGGAGACAAGATCCAGCCCCCTCATACAAAATGGAGTTCTTCAGGTGTTAAAATGCCAAGCCCTTTCAGGGATTCTCAGCCCTCTAACCTTTGCTCTCAGGACTCTCATATGCTGCTCATTTGTGATTTCTCCACCCTAAGGAAAGATGCCCAATTCTTTCCATAGGTTCCAGTGCTTGCAACAAAAGCAAACAGCAAGTAGCTTGGACTCTGGAAAGTTCATCATGGTCCAAAAATCCACCATTAGTTTAATTTTTTTTACTTGTTTCTTAAGAGTTTGGTGGTGGTGAAAATGAATGCTTTTTTTTTTTTTTTTTTTTTACAGTTTTGTGATTGGCCAAATTTTTTATTTAGTATTCAATCACTTTTCAACATATAGGAATGGTTCTATTGGGAGAGATGTAAGGCAGGAAATTCGCAGGTTCTAAAAAAAAAAAAAAGGCAAAATATGACAAAAATTATTATTCCTTTACTCTTTTAACATTGATGGAGTGAATAGACCTTTCCTTATATTAGCATTTTATTTGTGTTTTTGTTGCTGGTTGTTCAGTTTTTAATATTGGAACACCAATTATCAGTCTCAAAGATTTACTCTGGAATCTTAAAATTGGCATACACCAATTCCCTTTGCTCTCCCCGCCAAAAATCTAACGGATGTGAATGAGCAGACGGATCCATTTTTCCATTTTAGGTGGGTAGATGTTTGCGAAAAATGTTAGAAGCACTTGTCTCATTTATCAGAAGAAAATTTAAGACAAGAAGAAACCTTTAGAATAATTTCTATTTTGAATTACAATAATACTAACACGCAGGTTCAAGTCTTAAACTTTTAACATGAGCTTGTTCAATGAAACGTTAACAATTCCAAAACGAAATGAAATGAATTTTAACTTTTTCCTCTCAAAGGCACAAAAATCGAGAGGAACTTAACAGGCAATTCACAAATGATAAAAGCAACTTTTCTTCGTACTAGTCCTTGGGTAGTTAGTTCTGATACAACAGGCTCATATTTTCACTAGCTTCTTTGAAAACGGGATTTGGTCCCAAGTTTAGTGTTCAGTATCTGCTTCGGCCTCCCCCTCTCTCAGGACGGCTTCCAAGGCGGCCTCCGCCCCTGGGCACCCGGCGGCCCGACCTGCTGTAGGAATCGCGTGGAGGGCACCCCCTTTCCACGGACTGGGGCAGCCCACGATCTGCTCGGCCTACCCGTTCGCGGCCCCTGGAATAGCGGTCGTTCCGGCCGCCGGCGTAACTGTCGCGGCCACTGCCATAGGCGTCGGGGGAGCAGCCCCGGTACTCCTCGTAGCGGCCGCCCCCGCTCCCGCCGTAAGATGGCGGCGGGCCGCGCACCGGGGCGCTGCTGCGCGGGTCCCCGTAGCTGTCGAAGATGTCGCGGTAGGAGCCTCCGCTCGGGTGATCCGAGTAGCCACGGTCGCGGCCCCCGTAGCCGTCTCGGTCGCTGTAGCCTCTCGATGGACAGTCGTCGCGGGCACTGGAGTGGCCGTAATCGCGGTAGGTGTATTCCCTCGGCGAGGGCACGAAATCCCTGGGGTCGCGGGCGCTCGGGTACTCGCGGCTGGAGTAGCTATCTCGGGGCGAGTAGCCCTCCTCCCGGGGACCCAGGTACGCGTCCCGTCGTGGGAGCGGCGGCTCCCGGCGCTGCGGGCCTGCATAACCTTCTCTTCCACGCGCGGCCGGAGCCCTCCCGCGCATTCCGCCGCCACTGCTGCGAGCTAGGCCCGACGGCGCGGCCCTTTTAGGGGGCGGCCCAGCTCGGCGCGGCGGCGGCGGCGGCCCGCGCTTCAGGGGCATCGGGGCCCTGGAGGACCGCAGGTCGAAATCGTCGGCGTAGGAGCCATCATCTGCCGGTCCGCCCCGGGAAGGGAGTCGGCGTAGGCCACCACCCCCCCGGAGCCCACGCAGGCCCCTGGGGCGACCGCGGCTGCGAGGCAGCAGCGGGCCCCGGCGGCTGCTCTCAAACGCCGGCTTGGTGGCCTGGGCCACTTTGATGGTCTTACCATCCAGGGACTTGCCGTTCATGTCTCTGGCGGCGGCCTTGGCGTCTGCTGGACTTTCGAAGGTGATGAACGCGAAGCCTCTTGACTTGGTGGTTTCTCGGTCTTTCATCAAGAGCACCTCGATGATTCGGCCATACTTGCCAAACGCAGCCTCGAGGGCTTTTTCATCGGTTTCAGGGTTGAGCCCGCCAATGAAAAGTTTCCCGGGGCGATCTGCTTCAACCATGTTGGCGTGTGAGGTGGTTAGTCGCGGTGAGAGCTGAAGAGTGGCGTCGGTCGTGCTGTCGAACCAACTCGCGAGGGCGACTCCTACCGGTCGTGCGTGGAGCGTGTCGTTGCTGCGTCCCTCTGCGCAGGCGTTCGGAACGCTCGATCTGTGTCTCCTGGGTCCCTACAGCGCAGTCTGACATGCTCTACTAGTCCTGATTGGCTGGTTACCTCAGGAGAGCCGAGTGGGGGTGGGGGTGGAGGTAAGGGAGCAGGGCCCTTACCGCTGTTCTGGAATATGGGCAGTTACAGTAGTTCTCAGTCGTGTCTTTTAACCTTAGCTACAAAACTGCGCTTCACTTACCTCTAAAGTTCGGTAAAAAGACGTTATGTGAAACGAAATATTTTCATTAATCTTAGTGGGAAGAATTATGATGACGTTCAATCCGAGTTATTGAAACTATTTTCAGACAGAAAAAAAAAATAATGAAATTAGTTACCATCAATTTGAAAGTAAGAAAACAGCTCAGCTTGTATGTAAAGTGTATTAAAGCTAAGGTTTGATTCTAAAGAGGGAAGGGAAGACGATAAAAGGAGTGGTTAGTGGAAGAGGAAGAAGATAGAATCATTTTTTGGAAGGTAAATCCTTCCTTTTGTACCATTCTCTTCACGTTTTAACCTCCAAAAGGCTGTTATGTTTGTTTTATTCAGATTACATTTTTTAAAAGTTTTTATTGTGAATTGTTTATAGGGCAGATCATCAGTTTTACATTCAATAACTCATAAACTTTTTTTCATTACAATGATTATAATCCCCTCCGTTTACTATCCGTTAACAATAGTTTTCTCTATTCATTTTAGCTTTTAAAAAAACACTCAGGCATATATAGTATTACTATTGAATCGTAAGAAACGTATCCCCATCTCTGTTTACCAGACCCATCTAGATAAAATGAAAACTATTCAGTGGGGACTCTGCCTTCCCCCACACACTCTTAAACTACACTCCATCTTGAAACCTTGTAAATCAGTCTCTTAGTGCCTTTATCACCCCCCTCATTTTAGGTAGCCAATGTCTAAGTTGCCTGTCTCTATCTACCCTGTATACAGACGGGATAATAGTGATACTTAATGTGAAGACTCCTTCCTTCTCTGCTGGTATGTTGAGTTCCATGAGTATGTCAAGTTCATCAAATTATAGCAATTTACCCTTGTTTCCTTTATAAAAAAATGTTTTTGTTTTTTATCTTCCTCTAGTCAAGTTCTGATTATCAAGTTTTCAAGGCTAGATCAAATGGGCACTATCTACAAGTTTGGGTGTTCTTGTGAGTTTTCCCTCATTTCATATCAGGTGGATACTTCATTCTCAGCTCTAGCCTACTGTGGCTATGTCCCTATCCAGGGGATCAGGTGGCCCCAGATCTCACCACACTTTGGACCAACCAGCCCTTCCTCTACTCTCTCTCATCTCCAGGTCAATGGGAGTCAATGGACCGTGGTTGAACTCAGTTTATTTCTTCATTGCTGCCTTTCCCCCTCTTCAACTCACCAGTAGACCCGTGTGGTAGCCAGCAAGCTTACATGTCTGTTCATGTGTTCCCTTTGAGTTTGTCTTAGTGGGGGGTTTGTCCTGAAGGAACTTGATTACTTGCATTGATGGCTTCCCCGCGAACAACTTGCTTATTGTAGTAGCCAAACATACTGCCATTTTTGTTTTGGGTTTTTCCTTATGATCTTTCTTTGAAAATGTATCGTCTGTCATTCTGTTTCAGGATGGTCTACTTGTCCTTTCTGGTGAGAATGTCCCACCTCAGAAGGTTCTGGATGGGGCTAAGGTCACATAAACTGCAAAGGCTCTGCTAGAGGACTATTTCATGAGCCAAGTTGTAGAACTCCTTTTAGGTATTCCAAACAGTTATCGGTTAAAGATGGGCTTATGTGTTTCGCAACATTCTTTTCTATCTCACTGAAGTGTCTATTTTACAATAGTAAGCAAAGGAAACCAATATTCATAAGACAGTCAAACATCTTAGTATTATTTGCCTTCTTCAGGCTAAGCCTCGATCCCTGTATCACAGAGTCCTGTTGTCCAGGGTTGAGCATGCATCACTATTTACCTCTGTCCCACTTAGCCAATGCAAACGTGTCTTAGTGTTCCCCTATCTACCTTGTTTTTCCATCCCCTCCTTCTTCTTGTGTATTGTCCTTCGCAACACCCAAACTATGATGTGTCTGCCCCCATCCTGTGGTCTACTGACACCTCTCTGTACCTCCCCTACCTCCCCCAAACCACCCCCACTGGTAACCAACAAAGATCCCCCCCCCCCGTTTAGTATGGGTAGCTTTTCTAAAGTGTTTACAATAATGGTCTTTTGTAATATTTCTCCTTTTGTGACTAATTTCACTCACCAGAAGTGATGAACCTCAAGGCTCATTCATGTTATGCGGTGGCTTACGGCTTCCTTATTATTCTTCAAGGTAGCATAACATTCCATTATGTGTATGTACCACAGTTTGTTTATCCATTCTTCCATTGATGGGCATTTAGGCTGTCTCCATCTTTTTGCTGTTGTCAATAGTGCTGCTATGAACATTGGTGTGCATATATCTACTTGTGTTATGGCTCATATTTCTTGTGGATATATACCAAGTAGAGGAATTTCTAGATATTATGGTATTTCTATTTACAATTTTCTGGGGAAGCACCATATTGTTTTCCAGTGTGGTTGGACTATTTTGCATTCCCACCAGCAGTGTAGGAGGGTCCTAGTTTCTCCACATGCTCGCCAGCATTTATTGTCCTCTGAATTTTTTAACTTCATTGTTATTGCTGGTGTGAGATGATATCTCATTGTTTTGATTTGCATCTCTCTAATAGCTCTGGTAGCATAGTGGTTATGAATTGGGCTACAAACCACAAGGTCAGCAGTTCGAAACTACCAGCTGTTCCTTGGGGGAAAGATGAGGCATTCTGCTCCCGTAAAGATTTACAGCCTCGGAAACCCTATATAGGGTTGCTATGAGTCGGAACTGACTCCACGGCACACAGTAGCTACCAATAGCTAATAGCTAATAACCAGTCTCTGGAGAAGGATATCATATTTGGTAATGTGGGTCAGAGAAAAAGAGGAAGACCCCCAGTGAGATGGATTGGCCAAGTGGCAGCATCGATGGACTCAAGCGTGGCAACAGTAGTGAGGTTGGCCCAGGA